TGGTGTTGGTGCTGGAGGATTTCGCTCATCGCGGGTGAGGAGTGGGGGGGGTTGTTGAACGGGTAGCCCAGAGTTGCCAATCCGCCGTTTGTGCTTGGGGAAGTGGTCGGTGGCGGAGAATGAGGGGTTTGTGTGGGATCGATGTTGTGTAGAGGTTTGTTGCGCGAGGATGAGCTGATGCGGCGTAGGGTTCCGGCTTTGCGGTCGACTTCGTCTTCGAGGCTCTTTGTGCGGCCCCAGAAGAAGAAGACGAGGGCGGCGAGGACGAGGACGGCGATGCCGCCGATGACTATGCCTGCAATGGCTCCCGGGGAAAGGCTAGATTTGGAGTTTGCTTTGGTGTCTGCGACTGTGCCGCCGCCATCACCGGCTCCCGTGCCATTGATGCCGCCGTAGCCAGCGTCGGGTTCTCCTTCTGCTGGAAAGGACTCGCCTGGGTTCAGCATGTAGGTGCTATCCTTTGCCTTTTGATGCTGTTGCTCAATGTCCTGGTCCTCACTTGGGTTGACAGCTCCCACCATGCCGTAGTTGATGCAGGACCCCGGTGCAGAACAGTAGAAGAAGATGGGGTTTGTGTCGTTGACGCGGACCGAGTAAGAGGGTGGATCATCAAGGACGGCAGAGACGGGGTGGAAGCCGGTGAAGAAGCCAGTTTTACCGGGTCCAGACATTTCATAGGGAATGCAGGGCATGAGGTATTCGGCACGGGCTACACTATGGTTCAATGGAAAGAACCTAAATTCTAATGTCTATAAAAAAAAGTTAGCTGGGTGGATCAATTGTCGGTCGAAGTGAGGGCGCCATGTACACAACGTCAAGAAGTTAGGACAACTTACATCGCCTATAGCTGCACGAGTTACATTAGGGACCATCCTATGGTCTGCTAGTCCGACCTGGATTGTATGTGTCTGTAACGGCGCCGAGGTAGTGCTGCTTGATGCACTCCTCAAAGTGGTTGAAGCCGTCACAACCGCATTGCTAGACAAGCTATCTTGCGCAAGACACGCCGTCATGAACTGAAAAGCCAACAAGGCCCAGAGTAGGAATGTGCTGGACAAGCACGACGTCTTGGAAGTTGCCAAAGACATGTCGCTGATGAGTAGACGAGCTTCCGTAACGACGATCCTGAGGTGACGTTGGAGAAGAAGATGGAAAGCAAGCAAAAGGAACAGAATAGCAAGAGGTTAGCGAATGGATAAGGCATCAGCCTCGCCAGCGTGGCGATGCACAAAAGATCTTTCGCAAAGCGGCAGACTGCAGAGCCGAACGGGAGACAATAGCCCAATGTGACAACAGGCGTATACACTGCTTCCTCATTGGTCGCGCGTTTAAGCTATGGGTTTTCCTGGCACTGTCGAAACAAAGGTGGTTCGGCGTTCTGGAACAGAACGTGAGGTCATATGGGGTTTGCATGAGGTGAACAAAGCCACGACACAAAGCCGCACGGTAGAGATGGGCGATTTGGGCGTAATGGCCCTGCCATTTGGGTATCATACTAGCCAAGCTTGTGTCATCGACACAAGCTGCAAAGGCCTGGCAGAAGTTGCAAGGCCATATGCATGGGCCCGACGGTTTGCTCAGTTGGCGTAACCTGGTTCCTGCATGGCACACAGGGCACTTGTGACGCTTTCACCCCTTCGTCGAAACAGATCATGGAGCAGCAATTTTTTTTTTTTTTCGCTCCAGTCCAGTAAATAGAGATAGATCCTACTTGGCTGGGTGGATGCGCACGACATGATGCGCGACGATGAGTGGAGACTTTTTCAGTTTTTTTTGTTCCTACTTATTATAGTGAAAGAGAGATGATTTCCATCAGGGTGGCAGCATACATGATCGCCAGATGTGACCCAGACCTGGTCTTCTATAATTACGCTAGATCGTAGAATGGCAGGAAACGATGGCATCGCATCTGTATCTGACCGCGCATCCACTTGCTGCCTTGACTTTGCAACTGCATAGACATGCAGCCATATTACCATGTCTCTTACGTACATGTTATTCGGTACATGGTACATGCGCCAATTGGCACAAGCGGCTCTTGATCATTTCGTCGCTGCTGGCAGCTCTCAACGAAGACCTGGATCGCCGAAGCCAAATGGGTCATTGCTCGAGGAACTATTAGAGCCCGACGCAGAGCCGTAACCTGAGGGCGTGGCTGAATTCTGTTTGGCAAACGAAGCCGGATCTGGGAGGGGATTCCACACCGGAAAGCCGGTGGGCGGCTGGGATTCTCCAAGTGGCTTGCCTCGCGCATAGTCGACAAGACTGCCGTTGATGCCTGTAAGCGCCCAAGCAAAGACGGCGACGTCTCGAATGCTCTGCATAAATGTCTTCTGCATCTGTGAGACTTGGGGCGCCTGTTGTGCCATGGCCGGATGGTGAGCACCCAGGGGATACTGAGGCATCTGTGGTGGCGCTGGGTGGAATACGGGCTGGGTTGCCCATGGTGCCGCATAGATGCCATTGTACTGTTGTGCCGAATTGGCCACCGGCATCGTTCCAGGGAGCATGGGGCGAGCGCGGCGTAGACATACGACCAAGCCATCCGAGGTACATGAAATGACGGCCTCGAGCTCAATGGGCTCATCACGCATCTCGGAACGAGGCGAGCTGATTTCCGAGGAAGTCGTGGAGCGAGCAGAAGGCCGTTCACCAAAGATGGCACGGTGGGTATCGGCAGGGTGACTGCTATTGCCAGCATTCGTGCGGGATTGCGTACGAGATGCATCACCGAGTCCAACGTCTGAGTCGCCCGGTTATGAGTGCGATCAATCTACC